GTACTACTATTACTGCCTCTACTACTACTACTACTACTACTGCTACTACTACTACTTCATGCAAGCTGCTACTGCTACTACTACTTCATACAAGCTGCTACTACTGATGCTGCTGATGCTGCTTCTCTTACTACTGCCCTTACTACTGCTCGCAGCAGCGCAGCATGTAGATTCCCTAAGCCTCAGACCCTCGTCATAAAATCAATGTTTATAGCAAACCTGATTACGTAATGAAGTGCGGTCCCTATTCGGCTGCCTCTTTCTCTCTCTCGCTCTCTATCCGTGTAACGGTACACCGTGACGAAGGGGCGGGTCGACNGGCATTATTGAAAAGACCATGTTAATCTAACTTTCTGCTGACTATGCGAAGAGTAAGTGTCACGATAACCTTTGAACCCTCAAGAGGAGGGTTTAAACATGGTTTGTTTGGACTGTCTGTTTTAGAAAGATTTGATCTGCCGGGCTTTGCTAGTAAGAATCTAAATGCATATGCCTGGATGTATTGAGGCTACAATGTCACCATGTTGAAATTTCAAAAAGCTTAAATTTTGGTTAAAGAAGGTTATGCTGCTTAAATCGTAATAATTTTCTATGGCATTTCTGTACTGTCAGTATGTTACATGTACCGTATGCCACTTTTGCAAATTGGCCTACTGCAGTGCATGTGTTGTGTGGTAACTTGTGTAGTTTTTGGCCTGGCGTTAATTGAGTTACATGGTGGGCGAAGCTTTCTCTAATTGGCAGCCTGTAGGCTGCGTAGGTTTTAAATGACATCAGTGCTTTGCCTATTCTGTCTTGCAAATAGTTGTTGCTACTACGTACGATGGGAGGGCTTCCAAATCTTTAAATCTGAAGACTACGTTAAACGTACGTCTGCGGCCATCTCGTGGCACTTCATAACGGATCCCAACGAACATTCCTTGAGAAGGTTCGCTGATACCAACTCCTGTTCCTTTGCATTCCATCTGTTTCGGCGTGTATGTGAACACATTTGGGACTGAACAGGGTTTACTAGAATCGCCAACCAACTCCACCAGCAGAGTCCACCGCAGTAGAACTTAGATGAGCGCTGTCGCTACCCCGCCACTTGTTATTTTTATTATTTTTTGGCAATTTTAATTTATTTATTTTAATCGAATTAGGGAAAGGTTATGGTTAGGATAGGTTAGGGTAAAGGTGTTTCTATATCTGTTATACTTTAGTCTGACTGCTCAAGTAAGAGTCTTTCGATTCGTGATGTAAAGGCACCGCGTCAGATTTACCGCCATATAGAGTATTTTTTCCGCTCTGCTTTCTGTATTTCTTTGTATTGTTATTTGTTTCTGCATTTATTTTGGTTCTGTTATCTTTTAGTTTATGTTTCGAAATTAATATATTTCTTTATGTTTTGCATAAAAATGTCCTATTATATATTTTCCTCTGGATTGGTCAGTTTCCGAACATAAGCAGTCAAATATATAATCGGACAAATTTTTTAATGCAAAACATAAAGAAATATATTTAATTTGCGATACCATAAACAAAAGATACAGAACAAATAAATGCAGAAACAAAATAAAATACATAAGAAATACAGAAAGCAGAGGGAAAAAAAATATCCTTATTGGGGTTCACCAAAATTTACTGTCCCTTACTATCACGAATCGAAAGCTCCCCCTAAATAAACCAGTCGTCCATCTCAGACTAAAGTTTACAGATATATGACTCCTAACCCTAACCCAACCCTAATCGCGCATAATCCTAACCTTATCCGCTAATTCCTAAAATAAAATAAACATTAGCCAAAAATAATAAATAAAAAATAAAATAAGTGACAAAATTAGCCATTTCAGTAGAAGAGAAGCCGGTTGTCTTAGTTTTCAAGGACTTTGAAACCGGAATTGGTTTGTTTTAGACACTCCCTTATAAGTTATAGCTTGTACTGTTATGTTCGGAAACTGACCATCAGAGAAGAAGAGGCGCGGTATTGTTTTAGTTTTCAGGACTTCCAGAATACCGGTCCGTCTTTGTTTAGACACTGCCCAATTATATTAATAGGCACAAATTTTTAAATGGCAAACATAAAAGAAATATTATTTAATTTCCGACATAAACAAAAGTAACAGAACAAATAAATTGCAGATTATATTTGACAAATAAAATTACAAAGAAATAACGAAACAGAGGTAAATAAACGTGTTATGGGGTCGAGACACGGTCGCCTTACTATCACGAAGCGAAGCTTCTACGCGTTGAGGCCACTAAGATCAAACTTGTAATTGTTGTTGATATAGACGCTAACCCTATACCTAACCCCAACCCTAACCCTAATTCCTAACCCTAACCCTATCCCTAATTCTAAAATAAAATAGAGAAATTAGCCAAAAATATATAAAAAAAAAATAAATAATGACAAAATTAGCCAATCAGTAGAAGAGAGCCAGTGTTTAATGTTTTTTAGGAACTCCGAAACCGATCCGGCTTGTTTAGACACTTCCTAAATTATACCTGTGGCTATATGCCGCAAGCCGGGCACGGTCTTCGATTTCCTAAATCCCCGGCAGTTCCTAATTCCCTAAGCCCTAACCCTAACCCTAACCCTTGTTTACTTGAGATAACGCTGAAAATTACAACTGCCGGCGTTTTAGAAATTCGAAGACGGCGTGCACTGCAGGCGCGTCCAGATATATGTCCAGCTGCTCGCATAATAGCCACTCTGTAAATTAATATGCCTACAAAGTATTAAACTACGGCACGTGTTGAGGCTCCTTGTCCATGTCCTTGTCCTTGTCCTGAGGCATCTCTATCCTTGAACCCGTGTTTACTTCAGTTGAACTTCAATATTACGGATGCAGTGTGTGCTGGATGTAAAACACTACCTTGCAATGCCACCGAGAGCATTGCCTGTAATTGGCACCCGGCTGGTGCTAACTTGCTAAAACTAGGAGTCGAATATAATTTTCCAGTTGTGGTTTCATTAAACAGAAACATCGGACGATAAGGTCGTGTCCCCATTTCATGACATACCTCTTTTCGCCAATGAGGAGAAGACTGTCTTCAACATGGTGGTGGAGGTGCCGCGCTGGACGAACGCTAAGATGGAGGTAAGGCAGCTGAACGTGAGTCGTGTGTGTGCAACGTCGCTCATCGTCGCGATTGTTGACATCACGCGACCGATGAACCTGATGTGACGACAGGTCGTGGGCAAACTAACAGGTTTCAACTGTTACTGTTAGTTGCCGTGACGCTTTCCGTCGCGACGATGGCCATTGGGTGTCGAGCGCAAATAAATTCTATGCAAAGGAAGGTTTATTTTTATTTCTCGAGTTCTACTGCCGATTGAATAACAGTATAACTTACAGTTATATGCGTAAAAAGTTGTTTGACCACCTTGCGTCGGCATTAATGGAGAATTCAGTAAAAATGATAATATATGAGCCCCCTGCAATGTTTTTTATCAGTGTTCCTATTTAAAACTAGCTGGTGGGCAATTATACTACAATAGTAGGTAGAATCCATATTAACTATTCCTACTACAGCAGATTTTTGCCAGGTTAACAGTCTTCTAACATCAGGGGTAGAAATTAACTTTTGAACACGGGAGTCCAACGGACCCTAACCCTAACCCTAACCTCAAAAAGAGGGAGTTCGCGGCAAAATGAGGGATTCCGCAGTCTGAGGTTCAAAATTAAAGATATTAACAATAACGCATACATGTGCTTATTTTTAAGATTCATGCAGTTGCACGTCTGCCAAATTTTCTTTGGACATTAGCTGGAAAAATACGTTAATTCCGCGAGGCCGTGCTCCGGAACAAACTAGTTAGCAAGTATGGCAGAATTTTCAGGGAGTCACACGGACTCCTGCATATGTCAAATCAGGGAGTCCGACAGTAAATCAGGGAGTATTTGACTCCAAACTCCCGTTAATTTCGCACCCTGTAACACACTATTCTTGTGGTATATATAGATACTTCTTAGCTGTCAAACTTTGTTTGTACTGTGACTCTGTCTGTGGCCTGCCAAGTCTGT